CCTCCCCCCTCTCATGATACAAAGTAGTTTTAGCTGGTTCCAGGGAATAAAAAAGTAAGTTTTCCAAAACCCAAATCATACCTCTCAGATCTGAGTAGATTCACTGTTTCTTCAAGCACCTGTCTTGGTTTCTCTTTTAAAGATGTCAACAGTAGCAAACACATTGGTGAAAGTTTTTGTTTCTAAGAGTTATCCAAAAGTTTCTCCTTTGTAGAAATATTATTTTCTGTTTTCAAAATGCTTTAGAATTATTGAAAAGTATTTTGGTTTTAGGACACTATCTCTTCACATCGGGAATCCAAATTCAATTACATTTTTGCAAGGCTATGTATCATATTACTTTGAGTTGTCCCAACATTTAAAAGCTTCTCCAAAGAAATAGTCCACTCCTAACTTTTCAATTTTATTTCCAGGAAAGTATTGTATTGAATAAATAATATTTGGTAATCAAACACATCTGGTTTTATACAACTATAAAAATTCTTTAAGTAGTAACAATTCAGTCCTTGTCACCTAAGTTTGGTTATAAACTGCATAACTTTGGCATACATTTTGCTGCAACTCATTTTCTGGCCACCAATAAAGTGCCTTTGGACTACTCAAGCTGGGAACAAATGAAAGAAACAATTTAGTACAAATCAGTTCCACTCCCCATTTTCTTTCACATAGCAGGAAACTGAGGTATGAGAAGATAATTGCTCAAGATCACGCATCTCATTTTCTGACATTTAAGCTCTATTAAAGAGTCATATACTTTAGATCTTGAGTTTGATCTGAAAAATTTGATTTTTAAGAGCATAATTTTATGACAGAAGAATTAGCACACTCATGAAAGAATTACAGAGTTGGGCTTGAAATATATAAGTCCCATTCTTTTTGTCCTCAATTCACCTTTAGGGAGTGACTGAAACCATCTAATAACTTAAAGCTGTCATTCTTTGAGGGTCACAAAATAATTCTCACCTTTAAGATGAAATCTATTGCCATTCCTATATATAATTCAATGTGCTTCTATGACAGGGGTCCAATGGTATTTTGGTTCTCTGTCCTATCTATTGTAGTTGAACAAGAGAAATAAATTTTAGGATACCATAGTGATTTTTTTCCCCTTAGATGCAAAGGCAGTATGAAATATACTTTTATCATATAAAATTCATTGATTTGGAGAACTTAACAAAATTTGGGCTACAATTAAATTTAGTAGGTTAACCTTTGTTTCACTGACACTTATATTCTGTGAGGTGTTGAACAAATGCACAAATAATACTTCCAGAGGTTTCATAAAAATTTTGCATAATGTTCAGGGCTAACATGTATGTCTCAGATTTTAAAAAGCCTATATCAGCTACCAGTACACATCTCCCAGAAATGGTGGATACAGATGTATATGTAAAGTTCATTTTGTCTAGATTTAAAACAAATTCTAACATATGAAAATATTACTTTAAGTAGTTTTTCACCTGGTAAGGAAATTATGCATAAATTATAGTAAATGGTAAAAATTTCAGATAAAGATCCCAATACATCAATTTAAATGATGAGTTTAAGAAGTAAAATATGCCATCTAAAATATTAGTTTTTCACATAACTGGTCTCACTTATTTTATTTGAAACCATGATTGGTCAGAGGATAATGCCATGAAAATTACACAATTCAAATTTTTTTTTAACTTTTCTTTCTTCAAAAATTACCCTTTCTGAAGAGGGCTTACCTATTCTATCTTGATTTTTTTTTCTTTCAGTAATTACCAAGTGTGAAAAGCTTTTTACCACACAAAAATAATTTCATATAATAGAGCATTGGGATTTTTTTTTTTTTTTAACTTCAGACTTAAAGCAGCTCTGCTTCCTTGTGGGAAGCCATGTATCACTTGGTGCCTAGAATTTGTAGCCCATCCTAGATTGATCTTGCTTTCCACAGGTGCTCAACAATTTCTGAGTGATTTTACAAGGCATTCAACATTGTATAAATTGTTAAGCGCACACACATACACACAACACACACACACACACACAATCGAAACTGCTTCATTTCCTAGTATCTGCCTTTTCCAGTGTCTTTAATCCTTATCACCTTTCCCTAAAATATGTGTCCCCAACATGCCTATTTACATGCCTTTCAGGCACTAGAGGCTGGCACACCCATCACGTACCATGTCAGTCTCTAACAATGTGAAGGCTGTTGGAGAAGAGAAATTTCCATCCACTGGGAGATGCTGTAGCTATGTTTCTATCAACACCACAGCAATCCTCGTATGCAGAGTTTAGACTATTGTCTCATGGTCCCACTTGCCTTGGCTCTGATTGATGTAACAACAGTATCTATCATAGGGACTGTTCTGCTTGTAGGAGCAAACGATGATACTGTCCTGGGGTACAAAGAAGATGCTATCCTCTGGCTCAGGGCACTCAGATCTGTCCCAGGCTGAGCACTTGGCGTCCAAGGCACTGTAGGCGAGAGAGCTACCCGAGGGACAGTAGCCATCCAGGTATCTGGATGTCTCCTCTTGATGCCCACTGTGGACCACGCTCTGGCATTCTTCTTCCTCTGTAGGTGTGTGGGTGGTGATGGAGCTAGCCATTGGCACCTCACCCTGCGCCTGTGGGAGCATCTTTCCCCTGAGGCCTGCCTTCTTAGCCAGCTCATCCGAACTTCCTTTGCCTGACTCAAGGTCTGAAGGGGTCCTCAGCAGTTCCACCACCTCCTTGTCCTTGGCTTTCCGGAAGCAGGGCAGTTTTCGGACCCAGAGCAGCTCATTTTCGGGCCACTTGGTGCATCCTTCAGTCTTCCTGGCCAGAGCAATAGCTGCAATGCCCGGTAGGCAGATGGCTGGCCCAATGGCCAGGAGGGGGATATTTCCCAGAGTCTCCCCCTTCATCCCAGAGACGGTGAACATGAAACCAAAGACCAGGAAGACACTGACCAGGGCCACTACCAGCCCAGTTCTCGGGTTAATGTCATCAGGCCTCATCTTTCACTCCATCCAGGTGAGGGCTGCTTGCTGTCCAGGGAGTAATGATCCTCCCTCTGTTTAGAGGTGAAATCACAACAGATTAAAAGAAAACCCAATTCAAGTTACACCTACCAACTCTGTCTCTTTCTTGCTCCTTGTCTCTGACTCCTTGTCTCTCAATCTTGATCTCTTTGTCTTCTTTATTTCGAACCTCTGGGCTGGTGAGATGGCTCAGTGGTCTAAAGCACCTACTCTGCCAATCTCTGTCCTTTCCTGTTTCTCTCTCTCTCTCTCTCTCTCTCTCTCTCTCTCTCTCTCTCTCTTTCTCTCTCTCTTTCTCTCCCCCTCTCTCCCTCTCTCCCTCTCTCCCTCCCTCCCTCTCTCCCTCTCCCTCTCTTTCTCCCTCTCTCTTCCTCCTTCCCTCCCCCAATTCCCCCAACAACTCTTCCTCCCTCCACCTTACTCTCTCTCCTTTTCTCCCTCTCTTTTGCAACCCTTGACTTATATTCAAACACCCACTGGGGACTCCAAGTTACCTGACTTTTCCAGCCTCCCCTCGCGGATGGAAAAGAAAGTCTGAGTCTCTTCAGAAATCTTGGCAGCAGTTGCTCCTTGGTTCTCTCCCTTGGCTCTGGGAAGGAAGCCTGGTTTCCTCCACTCACTCTGCCTGGAGGAGGTGGGACGCGGGCGAATCCTTCCCAGTCGTGCCCATCCGTCCCTGGGCTCTGAAAGCGGTGCCTCTGATGAGCGCAGCGCGGGCTGCGCGCTCAAGCGCCTAGCGCGGAAGGGAGGACGGACTTAGCCGGGCTGGGAGGGAAAGCGGCGCGCGAGCCCGGCCTCGTTACATCAGCGAGAGCACGCCGAGAGGAGAGCGCCGCGGGCGCGCGGGGGCGCGAGGGTTCAGACCAGCGGGGAGGCCACTCGGTGGGGTGGGGGAAGAGGGCCTGGAGCTGGGGCTGGGGCCCGCCAGGGGCTCTGGTGCCTCTACCAGGCTGCGCTGAGCGGCGAGAGTGGACCCGCTTCCCAGTCAGGAGAGGTCTCCAGCGCCGGGGGGCTGCAGGACGGTTAGCCCCGCGGCAGCTCGCGCAGTGTTCCAGCCCCGCTTCCAGGTGCGGCCTCTGAGGGGTCAGGTCCAGCCCAGGGTGTCTCGGGGTTCCGCACCCTTCTCCAGTTACAAACCTGGGCGCCTCGAACGGCCAGACAGCAGCCCAACCCAAGAGGCTCCGACAGCGCGGGTCTAGTTCGCGCTGCGGTCGGGCTTGCCCTGCCCTCGCCCTCCAGCGCTGCACCCCTCGGGTCGGAGTGGAAACCCAGTCCCGATCCACCTCTGCCGTGGACCCAGCCAGGTGGGCTGGGCCACAGAAGGGCTACTGTCGCTACACCGGGTCGGTCCTCACCTAAAAGCCAGGACAAGGAGGGGCTGGACGGCGGCGGGGACCACTGCCGGCCCGCGGCTCAGCTCCACCCTTTCTGAAGCGAAACTGGGCAGAGAATCCGAATATCCTGGGGTGTAAAGGCTCTTCTGGTTCTCGGGGCAAGAATGAGTTTGGCTGTGACTTCATGGGGCTGCCTGTTGAGGGTAGGAGAGGATCGTGGGGAACAGCAAGGTGAGAAGTATGTTCTTTGATTTCCAAAGTGCTGTCTTGGAAAGAATTACATAAGGCAACCAGGTCTTCTCCACATAAACTAGTTTTGTGTTTCTGGACAAGGTAATCATTTGGAGAATTGATTGTCCCCTCTGTAAAATGAGAATATTAGTACCAGATATGTGAGAGAGCATTGTAAAGATCATCAGAATACAAAGTTCCCAGCACAATGCTTTCCTACACGCTCCCTGTTCATTTTTCCCCCCCATAGTGTGCCACCATCATTAGTGGCTTCCTCGCGCTGCAAGCCCGGAGCCAATTCCTAAAAGACCTGTCTGTGGGACATTTGATTTTATCATTCAGGTGATAAAAACAATGAAGTGTTTCAGGCAGAAACCAAAAGCATTCAGTTTTTGGCAGTGTCAGTAGATTAGAGGGACAGGCTGGCGAGGTTAAGTGTGTGAGCAGAAAGACTGTTGGGAGGGCAGAGAAGTAAGGCAGGCAAGACACACCATGGCCTGGCGAGTCTGAGTTTGCAGGAGTGGTTAGGAGCAAGTGGATCTGAAGGATGGTTATGGGTTGGGCCAAGTGAAGTGAGCCAGAGATGGGTGGGTAGGGGGTTGAATCCCAACTTTCTCACTCTTTCAGGAATTAGACTAATTCAGGAACCATTTTTTCCTGGAACTTTCTCATTTTCCACTCCATCATCTGTTGTATGTGTCTTTTGTACTTAGGCTTGTTAGATAGCTATTGCATCTTTGGACATAGAATGATTCAAGAGGAAAGGAAGGAAGGAAAGAAAGAAGAAGAAAGGTAGGATGAAGGAAGCAGGACGGAAGGTGGGAGGAGGGAGGGAGGGAGGGAGGGAGGGAGGGAGGGAAAAGGGCAAAATAGAGATGCCAGGTGTTTGGCCATTTGTATTAGGAAAATACTTGTATTCCTAGGAGCCCCACCAGGTAGACCGGGGTCTGCTTGTAGCTGGCCAGAGGATGTGCTGCCCTTGGCCAGGAGGAGCCTGGGATTTCAAGTTTTTATTTGTTCCCCAGATCCACTGCTGCTCTAAAAGAAAGTCAGGACTTTAGAGAAAAAGGGGAGTATGAACACTGGACAAGCAACCAGCTTGTGTGTGTTCCAACTACCAAATATGTTTCCCATCCTGAAAACTCCTCTTCCCTGCCTTTACTGATAGCATTTCATCCTGACTTTGCCCTTGTCTTGTCACTCATTTGATGGTTCTTGGTAAATTCCTTTTTATTTTTAACTGATCTCTTGATGTCTACCTAGTTCTTTTCTAGTTAATCTTCCTTCCCAGTTTCTTTTCCCATCTTTCTTATAGCATAACAGTTTCATGGACCCTAGATAGGCTACAGACATTCAAATCTCATTTTTTTGTCTTTTTATTTTGAGACAAAGTTTTATTATGCAGTTCAAGCTGGCCTTGAACTCACTTTGTATCCTAGGCTGGCTTGAAATTCACAGCAATCCTGCTTCAGCCTCTGAGTGCTGAGATTACAGGCATGTGCCCCCATGCCTGGCTAATATTTCTTTAGTTTGCCCTCTATTCCCTGTTTTAGATGTATAATATTCATCTGTTTACTTGATATTGCTGTCTGGATAGTAAAAAGAACCTGTACACTCACAATGACGGCAATTTAATGCATCATATTTTTCCAGACTTTCTTTCTCCTTTTACCTCATCATTCCTCTTCTCCTTTGACAATTGAGGACATTTGAAATTGTTTTGTAGTCACTCAAGTCATAGGTTTTATGTTTTAAACCCTTGATTACTCCTTCACTGTGAGCATGGGACACTTATTTTGCTTTTCTGGGTTTTAGCTCCTTCTGGAATTAGGATTTTTGATAGGAAGTTAGTTTAGGCCCATTTAAACTCAAATATTCCATGTTTCTCTGGCAGTTACTTCTGCAGGTTTGCGCTTATATCAGTTGTATTGGTTAGGGTTCTCTAGAGGAACAGAGTCAGTAGAAAATACTTGTATAATTGTGCAAGGTAGGCTTCCAGGATTAGAGGAGGGAGAGTCTATAACGCACCTGTACTGGAGTGCCACAGAGTCAGTGTGGCAGCTCAGCCCAGGATGACAGAAGCTGCAGAACAAGAGGGATCAAGGATGCAGCACCAGTCCAGGCTTGACGACCTCGAAACTCACTGGACAGTTACTGTCATGAGTCTCCACTTAATGGCAGAGGAAACGGGAAAGTGCTGTGAAAAATGATGACAGCAAAAGATGCTGAAACAAATCGGAAAACTTAAAAATGTGTACCAATGTCCTTTTCCTTTACTTCACCCAAGCTATTGGTTGGTGCCACTCATAAGCTCCAGAAGGGTTTCTGTCCACCCCAGTTTGCTGACCTACATGCCAATGATCTCTGGAAACAACACTCAGAATTGTGCTTGACTAACCTGCTTCTCTTCTCTTCTCTTCTCTTCTCTTCTCTTCTCTTCTCTTCTCTTCTCTTCTCTTCTCTTCTCTTCTCTTCTCTTCTCTTCTC